AGGCGCCCCGTCCGCACGTCATATTTTAAATTCGTTAGTTTCTCGGTGAAAGTGATCATTTGACCCGAATAAGGTCAATCAATTCGCTTATCAGTACAGACCGTTCCATTGTTAGTCACATGAATAATGTGATATTTAGTAGAGGGTATGAGTATGAGATGAATCTTATGTCCACAACAGAATTTCGAGAATCCATGGGTGTCGGGTGTGGGTATGTGAGTGTACGTGTGGGCTGTGGGTGTGGATGTGAGTACAAAGGGAAAAGACACGCACACCCATACGCTCCATAACAATTGATCACTGTACTTTTGTCGGTTATCACCGATAACATTCTATTGAAATCAGTGAATGTTTTTTTTTCCATTTAATAAACCTGCGTCGTTTGTTTTTCATGTTTTTACTTTGAAAAAAATATATTTCGAAAAAATAATTTGCTGTAAAATTGCAAGTTACTTGGAAAAGACTGTCAAGAAAAAAGAATGATACTAACTATTATGCTCGATAGAGTAGTATTTCAGTCAGTAATCTACATGGAAAATGATACCAATCTAATGAAGGGTTGATCGTCGTGATTTTAAATACCTTTCATCTACTACTATCATTTACAGCCATGAAATATAAGTGTAAAATTATAACTTCATGATTCTGATGCAAATATTCGTTAAACGTTTTCTTGCAATATTATAAATATGAAATTGAAAACAAAGTGAATCAAACTCAAACCAGTGAAATTTCCTGTGATTCATCACTTGTTGTACGTGTATTATGTACTATAGTTCATGATACGAACATTATTTTTTTATGCGTCTTTTCTTTTTTCTTCCGTTTTCGGTTGTCATTTACACATAATGATCGATATCATTAGTAAATGTCCAATGTGAAATGCATCAGAATTGTCATGCAGAAGTTCTTATCATTTGGTGTGATCTGGTGATTTTTGTGACTCATCAAAAACGTAGAAAGAAGAAAAAACGATGGGCACATATTACCTTTTGAAAACATATATATAGTCAAGAGACATTTGTTGAAAATAAAAAAGCATAAACATTAAGTTTTCCGCTCGCATTCATCAGTCTCATCAATCATCAGATAAAGCATATCCTTTTGATCAAATGCATCCCACTGGCATTGAATATTGAAGATCTGCACAATCTGATCGGCATACAATGATGCATCGCCGCATATCTTCACGGCGAGTTGTTGACTCGCAAGAAGATTTCTTTCAACGTATCGTTAGTTCTTTGAGAAAAGTATTTTCTGTCAAAAAACGTCCGAAGAATATGGTAGCAAGACACCATGGTGCTGGTGGTACAACTTTACCAGCGTTTTCAACTTCAATGCCATATGTTATTCACGTAGAAGCAGGCAGTGCAAGTGGAGAAGGAAGTGGTTACGGATATGCTTGCGGACATGATGGTGGATATAGTGGCGGATATGGTGGTAGTGGTGATGGATGTGGCGGCGATGGTGGTGGATGTTGATTTGCTGATGGTTAAAATTATCATTGGTATCGCTAATGGACACAAGTGATGAACTCATATATAAACTTTTATTGTAACTACTAACATATAAAAAAAACTAAAATCAAGAAAACCTCAATGTGCATTGCAATAAATAACAATAAAGATTTAAAATAACACATATGCTCATTCATTTCTAACAGCTTATTTATCGTACTATCAACAATGTTTTGTGGAACTTACATATATTTTCGAAGAAAATAGGTAGTGTAAGATATAAGTAGAAGTTTTGACGACTCTTCCCTCTCCCCTCCTCCATGACAGACACTTAGCAACGCAGACTCCCATCACAAACAGGCTTTCTATTACAGACTTCAGCTATTGAAGAAAATAGGCTTCAGACTTTCTAAATTTTTTTAAAACAATTGACAAAAAAAAAATTTTGAAAACTAATGAATAGCATTTTTCATGTGTCAATTATATTTTATAATAGTGCATTAAAATCTGCTGTAAGTATAGTCGATGTATAAATCAGATTTGTTTGCCATTTAATTCGTTAATAATAACAACAATAATGTTAAATTAATACAAAAATAATTAACAAAATGAAAATAAAAGTAACACGCATAGAAATAAATATTTATCTGCAAAGAGACTGTGCTGACAAGCTTTTTTTCATCAACATTAGTCAAATATTTTTTTATTAAATATCAACCTTGATAGTATAGTAGTACTACACATAGAATTGCTTGTTAAATCAATGAATCACTATTTAGCATAGTACGTTGCTGAATATGATCCTCATTAAAGGGAAATGAAACGACCTAAGTGAAATAATCGCTCTGTAGGGTGTGCAATAACATTTGCTTACAATAGCTCGAACGTTTTTACCTTTCCTGTGCATTGCAATGTTTCACTTGCATGTCACAGCTTGATAGAACACTATAAAAACAACAGCGACGAAGTTGTAACGTCATCATGTACTGTTTTTTTGTTATAATTCGAAGATTTTTACCATCATTTGATAGTAAATTCGATTAAATTAAATGGTTCGAGGAAATCAAAACAGTTTTTCCTAATTCCAAAACGTTTTATTCTTGTACAACAGCTTTCTGATTGAGGTTTAGTCTGGTTCTTCGATGAATTTTCTTCAAAAAATTGTATTTCATTGTTTATTAATTGATATTTGTCGACCAGACTCTTCATCAACATGATCTCTCTTTTTTTGTCTATTATAATATCAATTCTTGCAGCTTTCCTAACTACTGATATATTCAAAGAATTGCAAGCTGAACATGTGACTGTGGTTTTACGCGTATCTTGAAAGGAAGTATCGTATCAAGAGCGATTGGATAGAATCAATAGACAAGACTAATTGTCTGTGAGTGGTAGACTAGTCGTATGTATTATGTCGAGATGATCGTGAAACATTCTAGATTCTCATCCGTGGAGGTTTCTGTGGAGTCATTATTAGAAACTCTTCTCATTAGAAGGACGCGTTCGAAGAAACCGTAAAGTTCTAAAGTATATTAGCTTCAGGGACAAATAAAACGATTATGATAGACATAAGTAAGAAATTAGTGATTAGTCACGTCCATTCATTTATTAAAACTATTGATTTTTACTTGTAGTTTAAGCTTTCCATTGAAAAATTCGTATTTCTCTATTCAGATGGAAAGGTAATCAATAAAACACAGCTGAGGGTGGGTGTGGGTGTGGGTGTGCGTGTTGGTGTGGGGTGAGTGTGATGGGGTAAGTGGTGGGTGCAGATAGAGGTGAAGAGATGAAAAACACCCACACCCTCAAAGATGAGTAAGAAATGTCATTATGGCAAAATCAATGATTAGGTATTATTCATGCAGATGTGTAATGTATCTTGTGCTGAACACACTCTTCTCTTCAAAAAGCTTGTTTTTCTTTTATTTTCACACTCCTCAAGCTTTTTTTGACTTTTCTTGCTGAATTCATCAGTACTACTAAAACCATAAATCATTCCATCACGAAAGGGTATAGATGTGGGTATTGATATCACCGACATCCGCATACACACGCTTCATAATTTCAAATCGAAATCGAATTTAACAAAATGGTAGATTGTCCTTTGTTTCAAAATCAATATGAAAAATTGTATTATAATGCACGATTTTTTGTCGTCACTTAGAAAACAAAGTTAGAATGAATCTGCGCGAGAAGTTAATTGTTGAACATGACAAGCTGCTGATATTTTCCTTCTCAAAGTCATCATTTATCACAGTCGTAGAAATGACTTTTTAGGAAAGACTAGACGATAAAGTAGATAAGCCATTAAAAAAGTTTGTTTGTATTTTTTATTTTTTTTTATATAATTTTCCTTTATTGTACATTCTCATGAGATAAAAATGCTTTTCACCGACTATTTCCAGAGTTGATAGAAATAAAAATCAAGTCAAAACTTCATTCTGATATGTGAAATTCAAAAAACTATAAAAACGAATATATCAAAAAGCGCAAACTTGTTAGCGAGTGTATCTAAAGTAATCAAGAAGAGTTGTGAAATATTTGACGTTGACAAAATGAGTAATGATCGAAGATGACCATTGGTGTCAGTGATGATGAATATTTGTTATCTTCAATTTTGTTGTCAACAAATGACGTCAAACGAATAATGATATATTTATTTATCTTATCTTATGGACTCTCGTCCTTAAAATATTAATTCTTACGAAAAAAGAATTCTTGTACATATAAATCATTAATATTCTAAAGTGGAATTGAAAACTAAATAAATTAAATATGGGCAATAGTAACAGTCGTGCAATTGCAATTAATCTTGATCAAAACAAGTTGTTTTATTTTTCTGGTGAATCTATATCGGGAAGAGTCGACTTAAATATCATAGAAGGAAAACTAGAAGCAGATGAAATCTATATAGTATTAACAGGTGAAATTGGTTATACCACAACTCGAACTGTATCAACTGGTAGAGGTCGAACATCAACACGGACTGAATATCATCATGTTCCATTTTATTTTGCTAAAGTTATTTTTGCTCGACCTGAATCTGGACAAAATGAATTAGTTTATGGTCAAGGACAATATTCATGGCCATTTCAAATTCCATTAACTGATTATCTTCCACCAACAATCAATCAACCTCAATGTTATCCTCATGTTCGATATTATTTACAAGTTGTTATTGATAAACCATGGTATAAACCAAATACAAGAGAAACAAGATATTTAACAATATTTCCACGTGTTAATTTATTACAAAATCCTCAATGTTTAATATCAACGATATTTGGAAATCAAAATAGAAAAGATATAAAATTAAAAGGTACTTTAAATAAATTAGGATATGTTCTTGGAGAATCAATACATATGACATTAGAAATTGAAAATCCACGAAGAGTTTTAATTCAACGTATTGATCTTTCAATGTTACAATCATATCAAATTGGACGAAATTCACGTGGATATACGATATTTCGAACAACATTACCAAATATTCTTAATTTAAAAGATCAACAAATACGAGAAACATTTTCTATAATAATTCCTTCTGTACCAATACCACCTTCATATCAATTTCAAGGAGGAATTCATAGAGTTGCTCTGGTTAATATTTTTTATATGCTCAGATTTGCCGTTAAAGTCGAAGGAATTTTCACTAATTTTGATATTAATGTACCAATTACATTGGGAACAGAACCACATCCTAATCTAAATCAACAACAAACATTTAATTCTATAGTCGTTTCTTATTCTTCAAATCCTGAACAATCTATGTTTAATGATGCTGATTTACCGCCAAACTATGACTCCATTGTACAAAATAATAAATAATTTCTTTTACACATAAAAAAATTAAAATTTTATTTACCTATCATTTTCTCATACCTACTAATACAATTATGCTTTTTTTCTGCCACTAAAAATACAGCTATGCAGAAACACAAAAAAAATGCTAGGACTAGCAAATGCAATGTTTGTTTTTTCATATTGATTTTTGAGGAGAAAGAAAAAGTAAGATATTTTTAACACATACTTGATTGGAACAGTATGAAGTACTTCGTCGTTTAAATGGCACATCACACAACAGTATTCAATTGTGTGATTAAAATAAAAAGAAACCGCTGTACACACTCATACGTGAAAATACGTTTATATGCTAGAAAAGCATCATTTTTTCTATGTGTACGCATGTTTTAAATATTTTCACCAATTTAGAAAATATAGAAAGGCTTGCAGTTTCGAAACAATAAGGCAATGAAAATTGACATCTTTTGAAACATTCACAGGTTGCTGTTTTTTTTTGAGTCGTGGAACTTGGCATCTCTTTTTTTTCTGCCTATAAAGTTAAAATAGAGCTCTGATAGACGCTGCATTCTGAGATGTTCTTTCTAACAAAAAAAACTAAATGTATAGAATGAGCCTGGCCAGAGAAATTTGAGTTAGTAAATGATCTATTTTTGACTCTTGGTTTGCGAACACTTCTGTCAAATCATAGCCTTTAATATCAGAACCTTTTAGTTACAATTTAGACTATGAAATGGATGCCAAATGACTAAATTGCATTAAACATATTAATGTCTGATAGTGCGAAAAGATAGAGAAAATACATTCAAATGGCAACTACCATTTTTTTGAGTACACCGAAAGTTGAACTGTACTCCACAAAATGATGAGGATATCACCATTTAATATCATTCTAAGAATCTTTGCTAACTTTAAAACATAATTCGTCGAAAAACCCATTTTGAACACTAATTTGTCAAATTTGGAAAATTTGACAATTCTGAAGAGAAATTAAACTGCGAACACGATGATGTCATATAATCAGAAGATCTCTTCACTAGAAATATCATTGAGGTATAGGAAAAAAAGATTATCTCACGAATATTTTTATCACTTTCTTCACAGACGCACAATAAACGTATGTGTTATAAAATAAATCTGTAGTTTAATATAGACCCACCCATTTGTCTGATAATAATAATATAAAATATTTTTATCGATGATCCATGAAAATTTTGCTACTG